ACCCAGGCCGCGTTTCGATTGGGTCGACAAGTGCATCATCCCATCAGTCTCCAGTATATCCAACGCAATTATTATGTGATCCAGCCCGCGTCTTTAGTCTTGGCCGTGGGTTATTTTGATGAGTGTCGCAAGCATCTCTTGGGCGGCACAGGCTGGAGTGTGGTCATGGCCCAGCTCTTAGGCAAACCCCTCTATGTCTTTGATGTGGATCGGGAAGAATGGTTATGGTGGGATCCCACTCTAGGACACTATCAACCCTGTGAAGGCATGACCGAGGACTACATTGCCCTCCCCACCCTCCAAGACAAGACCGCCCTTGTAGGCACGCGGGAAGAAGACCAGGCGATCTATCCCACCCTGGAAGCTTTATTTAAAAACAAATAAAAAGACACTGATATAGAACACATGTTTTTTAATCTCAATGTATATCAAGGACAATAAAATTCATGGCTGACATGACATTCATGATTAAGTCTAAGCGTCTCATAACTTTGTCCACCGTATCGTAGGAGGCCTTCCTCCGGCCAATCATGACGGGGCGCTGACCCAGGGGACAATTGATCTGATCCTTGAAGGTGTCAATCACAAAGGCAATGCCCTCATTCATCAAACGGTCGAGATTGGGGGGTTGACGCGCCATCTCCGTCATCATGCCAATCTGAAATCCAGACATAAAAAAAAATGCTCAACGTCAAGGTCATGAGAAGACAAAGAGTCAAACCACCTTTTTTCACTCACCGAGAGCCGGTGATCCATGAGACGGTGGCAGTGGTGGCAGCCATTTTTTCTAGGGGCATGCAACCGTACCACCACTTGGTTCCACCAACGGCCCTCGCCCAGGTGTTGAGGAAACCCCGTCAAGTCACATTTGGGTAGCCCCTTGAACTCCTGCACCACCTTCTTTCGCCTGTCCATGGTGTAGAAACACTCCACCCAGAACATGATTTTGATTTGAACTTCCAACGGGAGCACGCGGCCAAACGGTTTGTTCCTGGGGTCGACTAACCCTCGGCAGTCCATTCTGACACAGTGAACAGCATGCGATTGATGTCTCTTCTTGACATTCCCTTATTAATCCTCTAGTCTCTACCAATCACGTACTCGCGCTAGACCCCCTGGTCCAGGGAGGACAAGGTGTACCCATGGGGGGGTCCCCCTAGAGTCTCCTCTCGTTCAGACTATCCCCACGTGATGGCTCTCCACTCATCTGATTCGCTGGTGGCGTCTCTAAAGCACGTTGCGCGCCCTGTGTGGGTTCATTCCAGTTTGTTCAGTCACGCTGATCAAGATGGTGAGTTCGCTGTCCTCGTTGGTATTGTACTCGATGCCGATCGCCATGCTGTTCGACGCCCTAAAGATGTTGTGGCATACGCCTTTAAGAAGTGACTGTCTGCGCGCCTTCTTCCGTCGTTGTACTCATGAGGAACTGCGGGATTGGGCTAAAACGCTGCCGTGGGACCACCCTGTTGCCCGGAAATTAGATCATGAGGTCCATCGCCGCCGCATGGCTGGTAAGTGTCATGGCTTTGATTTTTTCGGGTGTGTGGGTCCCTTTTTTTCCCTCATGTCCCTTTTTTGATTCCTAGACGTGTTCAAGGGGTTTGCGTTTTTACGAGACGTGTTGTGGCCTATCCACCTGTGCCTTTGCCCTCGACGAGCTCGACTCAATTGGGCCGCGCGGTTCTGGGTCCCAGCCTGTTCGTGTTGATTTTCATTTTTTTATTAGATTCTTGGGATCATGTGGAGAATCAGCCGGTGTGTCACATTTATCAATGGGTCGCCCACCCCACCCCTGGCGGGGTCTGTAATCATTGCGAGCGGATGATGGAGGGGTTAAGCCTAGATGATATCATTGCTGGTAACCGGGAGGGGTCCCTCACTGAAGATGATATTGTCGAGTTTGTGCAGAGTGGGGACCCCAACCATCGGGACTGGGACGATTGGCCTCTACGGATGACCTTTCGCATTAATTCGTTTCTCCGGCGTCAGGGTCCTGTGGATGACCCGGATTTAGCTGCCTTAGGGTTTTTAGAGGAGGATTAATTTTAGTTTAATTTTTTTTTTTTACAGCCACGCATTGTTTGTTGCGTCATCATACGCAATGGATCCGCCCTTTGCAAGCCGGTTTTTTTCGTACCAGTATTCCCGTCTTGATTCGACTTTCCACCTCTTTGTAGGCTTTCATTATACATTAAAACACTATGGAGGATGGATTAGACCCGTGCAATTGCGATGTCATTATAGTACGGTTCGATGTGTAATTAGTCTTCATGAAACGTTTCAGATGTGATTTCTACGATGGACGAATGGGGGTGGATCCTTGCCGTGCAACAACGATACCATATTCATAGTGTTGATCATTTCGTGCAATTCTGTAATCATAAATAGCCCATTATTATTAAATTTTTTAGATGTGATTACCGAGATTGACATCTATGGGTACAGAAGCTGGATCCGAGACCGCATTGCTTTTTTACTCATGGCTTAGACCATTATTATTCATTTTTTCGTAGATTCGCTTACCATTCTCAGTACCCACCGGGTTCATGGTACTTCCGCTGCATGGTGTTTCCTCGGCAGCATCGTGCAGTGGTACACTGGATCGGGGCTCGCCCTTCCATTACCGAGACCCATTAAATTACTCTGTTGTCGATGTTATTTGAACCTTCGTCGTGCTAGTGACTTACATGTGCCCTGTTATTGGTGCGAGATGTTGCAAGGCATGGGCTACCCACCCCATCCTTAAAACATGTTTTTTTATTTTTTTCAGATTCTCATTTTGTCATGCGAGCCATTTATCTCCCTTTCCTTTTTCAGCCATTGCCGAGGTGATAGACCGACATTCAAGGTCCCTCCAAAATTTAACGGGACGATTATATTTTGTGTGCAATCGTTGTTGGATCTATTTACGGCACGTGTCTGAACTCCATGAACCCTGTCGGGGCTGTGCGATGATGGACAGCATGGATTGGGAATTTTGAACACCCGGCAAGGGGGAGGTCTGCATGGTGGCGCCACCCCTGCTGGATGTTCATGAATATTTTTTTTTTAATTTAATTAGATTCCCATTGGATTATGGATCGTGTGATGATTTTCCGAAGCTGGCCCATCCCTCACAAACTTTGTATTGTCAATCATCAAGGATGGTCCAGCTTACTTTATCTGTTCAAACTAAAACGTTAATTTTTTTCCCAGAAACGCTTTGGATCTTTCAACATTTTAATTTCAACCAAGACTGGATTTTAATTGAATTATTTTGTGTACAATCTTTCCCGGGCGTGACACCACGAGGGCGTCACACACGTCCCACTTTGTAAACAAGTCTTTTTTTTTTGTTTTTCTAGTTATTCATTGGACAGTAAGACACCGCCTCGTGCGTGCCAATGGTCGAGTGTTTCTGATTCAGTTTGCTTCTTGGCTCTAATCACCCCTCCCTTTCGTTTCAGCCACCCGTTTCGATTTACGTCGACCTTTATCTAAACCTTGGTCCTTGATAGGATTCCGCCATAATATTCCATGGCCAAATCCATTGCTCATGACTCCTTCAGCCAGGAAGCAAACACCCTTTCTTCGCAATGTGTATTTTATGTAAAAACCATGGGCGTGACGTCATTAGGACCTCACATACGTCCCGGATGTAACTTAGGGTTTACGCGGTACGTTCATTAAAACCCATGCAATGATGTTGTCCTCAATAGAGTGTGTTTTTATGGACTTCCGGGGATGCGAGGGGACTGGGGCTTATTTTGAGTGTTTGCGCATGCGTAGTAGGTCTAGGCGGACATAGGCTCCTATGAATGCGGGGGACCTGTGGAGTCGTTGGGCGGTCTGCGCATGTGCCTACGATCCCATTCACGTGACTGCGCAGGGGAAACGTCTGGGGTTGATCTGCGCATGCGTCTCCCTTGTACCCAGGTTCTACGCGGTCCTTTAAAACTATGCCAAGTATGCGGCTCCATCTCTTGGGTGGGGTCACGTGATTTTTATGCCCATATTTGGGAGCTTTGACGTCACTTTGGTCACATGGGCTGTATGCTTGATTCTGATTGGTCGAGAAAATTTTTGCTGCGCTGTGATTGGTCAGTACCCACTGGAGACCCCCTTACTACTGTTGTACTGAAAACCGAAAGTCCCAAGACCAGAAAAAAAAAGTCGACGAAAATCACAAAGCCGAAATAAAATGGATGATAACTGAAAAGAAGGGCAGATTCACGTCTCCCGGCTCTCAAGTTTCCCTGAAAATAACTCATAGAAGTCCGGCCCTGCAGCCGTAGAATGTACTGACCAACACAAGCAAAATCGGAAACAAATTCAACCAATATGAAAATGCGAAAAGACCCTTTTTTTTACAAGAACTGAAAACCGAACATTCACAAAAGGAAAGATCGACAACCGCTTTTAAAGAACACACAATATAATCCTAGGAACTACAAATTTAAAGAGTAAAAACCCATCTCAAAAATTGTTTTAAAACTTGAAACTAAAAACCCTAAGGCCTTCGCTTAAACATGGAAACATGTTGTTATTTCTAAAACAAGTCGCAGAATGGGCTTTCAAGCGCGCAAATAAATTTAACGTTGTACAAATCTATCATTATATTTGGCAACAAAAAAAGATTATCCTCTCTTAATGTCAACTGACGAGAATTGCAGAAACCGCATTCTTGCTTACAACAAGTGATCAGAGATTAGAAAAATGCGTTTAGTTGATTTCAACTTTATTTTAATAGTCATAATACTCTGGAATCTTCAGTCCGAGAATATCAGACATGAGACCCCAACGGTTAAATAATACATAAAGCTATTGAAATAACTTTATTTTGTTCTTTCATTAATTTCAGTAACAGCAATTCGCCGAAATAAAGCAATAAAGCTGTTATAGACATACACGAAAATATTAACATTGTTTTAGCTGAATGATAATGTTGATGATAACTCAGTGCTACCCGTAACTGGTACAGAATGGATATAGTATACCAGTCGATTACGTCGCTTGTCAGTCTATATACTATGACGATGTAATGCACCTGGCAACCGTAAGAACTGTTTAGTGTCCATGGCATGGTTTTGCTGCTGTAATATCACATCGTTGTTAGGATTCGCGTTGTTCTGCACAACTTCAAGTTCCAGATTTTGTTGACCTTGTTCTCCTCGTTCTTGTCCAGCTTCAATTCTAACCCTCGCTCCAAAAAATCGCGACTCAAACTCTTCCGCTTCAGTAATGTTCGCAGTTCTATAAATTAATTCGATGAACGCTACGCGAAATTGTCTCATTCTAACTGAATAAATGATCGGATTGAGTAAGGAATTCAGCAGAGCTATTGAAATTCCAAAACATACAAGGATGTGCCTAGTTTCGACAGTTGCATCAAATCCAAACTTCACTACAGCAGTTAACGCCAACGGAAAGATAAAACAAAAAAGTAAAGCTGCAAGGATCATAGAAGTTAGCTTTAGGGCTTTTTTATCTCTTAGTAATTGTTGCCTTGCTTCTTGCGTAACTTGCTGAGCTGCAATTTGCTGTTCGTTTCGGCGGATTTCACGGTAAACTTTAACATGGCAAATAGCATTGAAGACAACAGACAAAACAAATAAAGAAAAGATTATGGCAAAAAATACATTCTTCTCAACGAGTATATGTAGAATTAGACTAATTACAGCGAAGAGCCATGCCAAGATTGAAGCCGCTAGCAAGCGAGGTACAGTGACATAGCTAATGTGTAGAAATGGATGTAGTATGGCTAGATAGCGCTCTCCTGCGATCAAAACGAGATGGGAATGCGTAGCAAGAAACAGTCCCGTGATGACAATTCTGAAGACTAGAAGTAAACAGTATACATCCGGCTTGCCGCGCAACAACATTATAGCTATCGCGATGAACGTTGGTTGAGCTAGGATACCAGCAATGAAATCCGTGGATGCCAGCATCGCCAGTAAAATGTTTGACTTGTGGACTCTTAGTCGGGATTTCGTTTTAACGGCGATCATCACAAGCGCGTTTAAGGCAGCAGTGAAAGGAAAGGTGATGATGTTGATGACAATGAGGAACATTAAACTCGCTTGAGCAAATGGCGAAGGATGTTCTAGTCTTTCGCCAACCATCGTATCCACCTCACAACCAGGCTGGCGCGTGTAGCTTAAATTCATCGCACCTCTTTTCAAAGACGGCAGTTTCTGTACTGAGAAAACGTTTTTTTTTTTATGGCAAAGGTTTGCTCGGTCAATAATTCTGGCGATAAAATCTCGCCCGCGATCCTAAAAAGGAAGGGTTGCCTTCAATACAACCGTTGCAAACTGTCTGGCTGTTTTAAATAACAGTTAGTTCTAAAGAGGATGTATGCATAAAAAACTACGTTTTCTTGAGAAGAGGCGAAAAAGAACTATAAACGGTAGATAATTAGCTGTGACTGTTATATGTTGACGGAAATTAGATAGCGACTGTCTATTCATAGCAATTGTGCAAAAGTGGCAACTTCTTTCAATCGAACGGAAAGAGCTTCCCCCAAAAGTCCTCAGTTGAACTTAAAGGATGAACCCGTTACAATTAACTTACGTATTTAGAACGAGCCTTGTAAGATTTGCCCTGAATTAATTAGAAGATCATCTAGTCTTGGAAAAAAGTATGAAAGTTTTGGGCTCTCGAGAAAAGCTTTTTCCATAAATGTTCTTGTGGTGTATGTTTTTTCTGAAACTTGTTACATGAATTGTACCAAGGCGGTTTGAGAAAAAATACAAAACAAAACAAAAAAAACATCTGTCTATTATTTGGGTCGCAGAGTTTACACTTTTGTGCAATTGATCGGTAAACGCCTTTAAAGGGTTTAATTTCCGATGATTTCTTGATCACCAACTACATGAGCTTAACTTTAAGGCAGTCTCTTTCTTTCACTTTTCCGTCCCACGCACATGAGTCACACATTACGGAAGGAACATCTTCTTTAATGAGTAACCATTTTAAAATGGGAAACAGTATTGAGTAGACAAATCAGTGAAACATTCAGCGTTCGAACTAAACCAGTAGGCGTAAAGGGCTGAAGATTGTGTAACAAGACGTCACAATTGCTTTTTAAGCAGATTGGTTGAGATATTGTTATTTTTTTAAATGCATTGTCTTTTGAAAATGAAGAAATGATCGTCGCAGTGAACGCAATTTATGCAATTGCGCAAAGAAGCCTGAAAAAAGTTCAAGACTTCAACGGGGTTTGAACCCGTGACCTCGCGATACCGATGCGATGCTCTACAAACTGAGCTATGAAGCCACTGACGTTGGGAGCAGGTCAATTGTGGGTTCATATGTTCCCGTGAAAGAAATGAGTGTTAATTATTATCTTTTATTTGTTTCTTGTAAAGTAATACAGTTGTAATGCGCAGCTGATCATTCTCATGTTAAGCTGCGCACAATAAGTTCATAAATTATTATTATTATTATTATGGCGTGAGATTTTTTTAACCAATCGGACAGCTTAGTGATGCAAAACCAGCACTGTCGCACAGAAAAAACCAATCACAAAACGCCTGTTATGCAGTCTAAACTGTTTAGTGTCACCAACGAATCAAACATTGGGGAGCTTAGCAACAACGACTGCGACAGGTACGAAAACGTCACTTAAAAAATGAAATTGCGCTGCCTCAAACTTTATCGCGCTTAAAGGTTAAAAAAGGTTAAAGGTTAAAGGCTTGTTTATAGTGGAAAGAGCACTTAGCTTGTCCAGCTAATTTACAGGCACTCCACTCAAATATTAGAAACAAATAATTCAAATACAACATAATAGGATTAAAAAACTCCAACTGGCAGGAGACAACCAGTTAGCTATTTACAAGCGTGGCCGAGAATTTGAACTCGGGACGACCGAGCACAAATCCAGCAAGTGGCCAGAGCGGGACTCGAACCCGGGACCGCCGGATTGCGAGTCCGATGCGCTGACCACTCGGCCACGCTGTCTACCTCGTTTAATTCGTCAAATGTTGGCAAATTTGTTTGGAATTGAATTCTAAAGGACTGTATCAAAGTTCAGGAAAAGAGAAGGAAAATTATTGTCTTGTGTTCCCGTCCTCGACAAATGGTGAAATTAGGCATTTTCACGTCGTAGTCGTGCAGTAACGTCAAAGAAATGTACAAAAAAGCGTGATGCACGTGCAAAGTTGTTGTTTTGCAAATCTAAATCAATTGCTTTTTTGCCGTTCTCGTTGACGTCGCCGTCGTCGTTGTTTAAGCTCCCTATTAGTGTCACGTGACAGTGTAACCACGGTGATATCTCAAACTGTCAGTATAACGGTACAGAAACTAGCTCGTGGCTTAGTATTAATTATAATAACCAAGTCTTTTAAGGCATTCTTCTTATTGACCTTTTAGACTTTCATTAACTGAAACATCACAAATCTGTAAAACTTTCGGTTTTAGAATTGAATCTCAGCCATGCTTCTCTCTTGGTGCCTTTCATAGTAATCCGCCCCTGTCATACACCTGACCTCGCCAAGTTTTTTCATTAACTCGTCCACGGCAAGGCTAAAAAATTTCAAGCTAGCTGTTTCATCGCTGGCTTGATCCTCTTTAAGAGCCCTTGAGATTACAAACAAGGCTCCTCAGGTACCATCTTTCTCTTTGACTTCATAGACCTCTTTCATCAACTCGTCCACGGCAAATCTGTAAAACTTTCGGTTTACTCGTTTGACACTTTCTAATTCCTCCTCCAGTTCCGTACGAGATAGCTTTCGCTTCTCTTCTAGTCCAGCATCGCGTCCGTCAAACTTGGAGACCTAACATGAAAACCAATTCGGTAAGAAAATCATCTCATCAAGTGACCATCTCAAGTTTGTTAAAAACCTGGTGATTACTAGAGCTTGTCGCTTAGGAGAGTAAGTTTGAAGGCAGAGGTTTAATGATTATTTCCTTAATTCTTAGCCGAGCCTCTGTATGGCCGGGTACTTAAGGACGTCGATGTCGTCGCACGTTTTCCATCAAATAATCGACTCTTCAGTTAAAATCTCCGCATATCAAGAATTGTTTTGCGTGGTGACGCTAATAGCGAGCTCAGCGCAACCACAATCACGACCGAAACAAGAAAACAAAACTGCAGCGGGTTTAAAACTCTGAACGCGCAGCACAGTTTTAGGCAGATTTCTTTGCCGTCATTGCACGACTAACGTTGTTTAGCTTGATTGGAAAGACCATGCAATCGTCGCTTTAATCTTTAAGATCATCGCTTCATCAATAGCGATCATCGCCGCTTCGGTTTCGTCGCAAATAGCCATACAGAGGCTCTGTATTTAACTTACAGAGAAAATATAACGCGGCTTAAGATCAAAGGCACTTACGTCATTGAGAATTTGTCGCACCATCACTTCACGCTTGTCCTCTAAATTTTCTAGATTGTTTCCCTGACAAACAAAAAAACCCAACTGAATCGGTTATCTAACACACAGATTAAAGCTAATAATGCTCAGGATCAGAAAAAAATGACAAAAAAGCAAAGTTTGCTTGGTAAGTCATTCGAAAATTTTTAGCACGGTAAAAAAGATATCCGTACCGTGATCTTTCTTATGTTTTATGGTGGCAGCACGGTTATACGATAAGATTTCATCCACAGACTCAAAATTTAGAACCTTCTGCTCGAAAAAGCTTAAAATACTGTGCAGACCTCCGCAGCTTTCATGTGAATGGTCACAGGCTCGCTCATTGAAACCACCTTGTACCGAATGATAAAATTAAAAGCATCCCTTGTCTCACGCTGAGTCCAAATTGAGATTTTCTAGTTACCATTGTCATACCTCAGCGAACAATTTCCCCCTAAGGATCATGGGAATGCCATCTGAGTGAGATTCGCCGCCATCACTTGAACTTGAAAGACCCGTCAACTGACGATCACGTGACTGTACAGGTACATACATGTGTCTTTTAAAAGGCTGTATCGGAGAAAGGGAAGACTTTGTAGGGGCACTGTCAAGATAGAGGGGCCTGGGAATGATACAAGCGTTTGTCACCCCGCCTGCAAAGAAACATGGTAGGTTGGCTTCGTTGTTGAAGGCTGCCAAAGCTTATATATTTATAGAGAGGAGAAGTCAATACGTCACGTTGCCATGGCAGTAAAATTTCTGGGTGACAACAAACCGAAAACGTCACTTAAAAACTGAATTCGCACTGTTTTATCGATCTTATTCAATTTCATTTAATTTGCCAGATTTTGGCAAAATTTTCTGGGGTTGAGTCTCAAAGGACCGTCTCCAAGCTAACAAAAAGAAATAGAAATTTTTGTGTTGTATTCACCTACTCCATAAAGTGGGCGAGTGAAATTAGGAAGTTTTACACGGGACAATTCGCAACGACAATTTTTAGCGCAAAACAGCGTTGAAACATTGTTGCAAATGATTGCAACACTGTCCCAACATTGCAAAACCGTGTTGCGCTAAAAATCGTCGTTGCGAATCGTTTCGTGTAACGTCACCTTAAGCTCAGAAATCCAGAAATTTTGCTACCATGGTAACGTGACGTCACACTTCTCCTTTCCATCACATGATAATGTCGCTGCTTGCTAAGTGTGTGAAAGGGTAGGGAAATCTGTCATTTTGGTGCGTTAAAAGGCCTAAAGGACTGACAGATGCATTTTATGGCCGTGAAAAAGTCGAGAAAACGTTCTTGTTTCAGGTTTATTCGTATCTTAAAGAGTGTGCATTTTCAACATTTAAAAGCGATGTGAAGTTCTAAACTAGGTATGTCCGAGGGATACCATTTGTCAATGAAAGGAGTACTTTTTCTGGCAAAAATGTGTATAAAAATATAAGAGGTTGGACCTCGGGGCGGGGCCTCGCGGCGGGGCCTCGCGTAAAAAACTTTGTTGGATACCTCCCCTCCCCTGGGGAGTCAGTAACACTGAAAGATAAATTTAGTCAAACTAGTGTAATAACTTTTTTGCCTAGGGGTGTAGCTGCTATAGGTATTATTGATGTGTCTGTAATAGTGAGGTGTCCGCAAAGCAAGAACTGACTGGAGTTCAATCAAAAGGTCCATATTACCTCTGTGATTCAGCACCCTCAGACACTGTCTGCTGTAAATATGCCAAACACGAGCAGTTTGATCTTCAGAGCCTGACAAGAGAAGAGAGCCATCCATGCTGACGGCTACACTGTTTACTTGTTTACTAGCAGAGAGGAATAAAATCAGTCAATACTGATTTATGTAACAGTGAAACCTTGATCTACAAGGTAAGAGAATTTAAAATGTGTTGGTTATATCTGGGGCTTACCCCAAACATTTTACTTTAACAATTTGGTGAAAAAAGTCATTATATTGAAGTCTTTGTGATAAAAGGGTTGTGTGACTGAGTTAAAAGTATCACTGATGATGACATATTTTTTATAAAAAGTACCCTGGGAAAGAGAATGAGTTCCATGCAGAGGGCTACTAAAAATGGCAGAGGTGGCTATGTTTCTTTTGCAGTGGAAAGTGGTTGATCCTTTTGATCACTATGTCAACCAACTGAAAAGTGTGAACATTTGGCAGAAGATAAGATCTAAATTAACCTGTCATTAAAGAAAAATTAAACACCTGTGACCAGTGAAGATTAGTGATTCTTCTTTTTCCATGTGAATATTATTCTTCATACCCTGAAAATCATGTCAAAGACGGAGCATTATAAAAAAAATTATAGTATTATTAAAGTGTTTCTTCCATATAAGAATGATAGAGGTGATTGTTAGAAATTAAAAAAAAAACCTGAAAATTATCTAAATCTTATCATATTTTGCCAGAGTGTATAAGTCCTAAGTTACAATTAAGGCTTAATTTGCATCCTTTAATCAATGAAAAATGAAAAGGAAAAAAGAATAAGGGGTCACATTGTTGAATAAAATAACAGTTGCTATAATTATTTAATTTCCTTAATGATACTTCACTGAGCATCTGTAACTGGTAAAGGAAGTATAGATATGCAGCTTCTCTGTTCATACAGCTACAGAAAAACCAAAAACACTACAGCACTTGGATGAATGGGAAACTGCCCACCTAGCCCACCCTAAGCCAACATTTTGCCCTAAGTGAGAAGTAAGTGATAATGTTGGCTTAGGGGAGGGGTAGGTGTGCAGTTTCGCAGAAACCTATATAATTTGATCCCAGCTTTAACGTAGGGTTCATACCCGTCTGGAAAGTTCTACTTGGTAAATGTGCCCATTGGTACATCCTGCAAACAAACTCTGTTCTGAAGTATCCATGGTTACAGCAGTGACTCCAACATTAAAAACGAATGAGCACAAGAGCTCCCCAGAACTCAGGTCATACAACTAGAAAGAAAACAATACATAAACTGAGGACTTAAAATGTTACAAGTATGCCACTCTCTTATACATAACTGTCTCAATCCAAACAGTTGCTGGATAAAGTGAACCTGGATAATATTTTTTTTGCCATTTATTCACACAAATCTCAGTTTTCCTGATTCATGCTACAGTGTCTACAATCACTCTTCCACAGACACCTCTCTCACCATTATGATCACATAAGTCAGACTGAAACAAGAGATTACCATTATGAGTCATAATAAAAGTGTCCAAGAATTTCATCAGTCAGACTTTCAAAACTATTAGTGCTTTTTTGTGTGGTAGTTAATTTGAGGTGGGAGGTAGCTCTAATGTTTCATGGAATTATAAAGAGACACACAATGCACAAAATGGAGTGCCACAAGGCAAAAATGGAGTCTCCTGTGTTTCCTCTTCCCTAGTTCAAGCGCATTGCTATCATTTCCCACTGTACTTTTCTAGCAATATTGCTACGCATTTGCAATTAATAATATTTTAAGCTTTGATGTGGAACTTTACCTTACATGTTTGATCAAGAGAAGAGGTAATCACATGACCTCTCATACCACCACAGCTACAGTGAATATCGGTAACTGGAAGGGCGTGGTCAGACCAAGTATGATAAGGACTCAAGGCTGATTCAAATGCTCCTGTAGCACTTGATGCAAGTGACAAAATCCTAAAGAAACAAATACCAAAACCCACACCATCATTGGTGGGGATAAAACTGTGGCAAGTGGGAGATACAATAAGTATGAGATAAGTGGGAGATACAGTAAGTTTTCTTATACTAGCTGATGTAAGTTGGTGTCTGCAAAAAACTTCCATGCTTTTCATCTGATAGACATTCTTTAATATGGAGTGACCGCAACTGAGATTAAACTCAACATGTTGAAGTATACCTTGCCATTTTCCACACCAACACCAAGTTATCTTCCCCGGATGACAAGAAGTGAGAGCCATC